AGATCCAGAATCACAAAGAAATCAAAGAAAGACAGGATAACTGGGATTGTGTCAAACTGAAGAGTTTCTGCATTGCGAAAGGACATATCTAGCAAGATAAATAGCCTACAGAGTGGGAGAACTTTATTAGCTATGCATCAGACAAGGGCTTCATGTCTAAAATATACTTCAAGCTCAAAAACATTACCCCCCAAAACAAATCCTCAAAGAAACAGCAACCTAGTTAGTAAATGGGCTAAAGACATAAAGAGAGACTTCTCAGAAGAAGTACATCACCTCTACAATAAAAAATGAATAAAAACTTTAAGTTTTTAGTAAGTAATTGTAACAAGAAATAAAAATAAACTCCATTTCAAAACTAAGTGACATTAGTGTACTTACCTTAGAAATACATCTCACTGCTATAATATTAATGCAGCATTCTTTGAAATCACTTCTCAAATGCCAATAAAATCTGTACAGTTATTCTAGGATAAACACATCCCCTATTTATTCTCATTAGCCATATGCCAGATGGGAGCCAGGATCTATTAGATAATATACAGTTTCACACTAAATCCAATTTATGAAGGTATAACCCTGAATTATATTCCTTTCCCTGACTGCCATATGTTACACCAACATATTAAATTAATTCACATATTGACCAGGTAATAAGTTAATTAAAAATATCCTTTAACAAGTTATTACAGTGGGTCCTTTCTTGATAGATAATATTTTATTGAACATTTTGTGAAACAAGTCACATTTGAGATCTCATTTAACCCTGCAAATAACCCTATGAAATAGATTTATATTTTGTTCAGGTTTTATAGACATTTTAGTAGCTTGCTGGTGGGCACACAGATTTTAAGAGGAGCTATGATTTGGCCCCAGGAGCCTTGGTTCTGAAGCTAGCCCTTCAATGATTTTAATACCCCATCTGTAATACACAATTGAAACAAATATGGAATTCATCTTGTTTGGTCACTCTGACCAGCAGATTCAGGGTGATAGAGGAAGACTATGCCCATGAAGGGATACCTCATAATCTTTTAATAACGTCATGGGTCAAGGAATGGGTTGACCGACAGCTATGGTTTTTAAAACCAAAGAGGTCTCCACCAAACCTCCACTTTTAAAGGTTCAGATTAGCCCAGAGTTAAGGGAAATAAACAGAAGAGCACATTCCATGAGGTAAATAACAAGAAACCAGGAAGTGCCGGAACCACTGAGCTGTCATGTGGTATCATATGAGATTTCAAGAAACAGAAAGAGGATTCTTACATTCTTGGACAAATACAACCTCAAGGAAATGAACGTTTGTCATTTTGATGATCTGATGAGTCCCAAATAACATCAAAATGAAAAAAAAAAACCATGTTTCTCTACATTAAATTAGAAGTTACTTCTTACAAATGTGGCTATGGGGCATTAATTTTTCATCATCCTGGAAAATATTGTACTGTCGTTACACAACAATTTGTTACATTTGTTTTTAAATTATTTCCCCTTTTAATGAGTTGAGATAATATTTATATTAACTTATATAGTCAGTAAATGGGAAATATGTTATCATAAATTGAGAATATTAATTATAATACTCAGTATAGCTAAAATATACAGATCTTGACTAAATTAATTGGCAGATTTATTCTTGATTCTAATACATAAGTGATAGGCTCACTGGAATTATAGACTTACCTATTGATATTCAAAAGTAGAATGTAACATTAGATTTACCTTGTTATTCAAAAAATTAGACCCAGATAACTTTGAAGTAACACACACACACACACACACACACACACCAACACCAAAAACTGACCTTCACAATTTAACATTTCCAAACAAATGGACCATCCCTCCTGAGACATCACAGTGCAGTCACTGTGGACTTAAGTCATGTGTGGAAGGCACACATCTAGTTGTGTCTCATTTATCACAGTACAAGCTCCATCTCCCTTCTGTGGATCAGGGAAGCCCTGGATTCAGCTGACATCTGGACCAAGTTTTTTCTAGCTTCTTTCCTTTTTGTAACTTGATCCAGTGATCCCTTGAAGTACCTGTCCCAGGTCCCCACCCTGCAGGAGTGCAGGGAGCACAGGGAAGCAAGTACTCTGATGGCCAGTGCGGTGCCTGAGTCCTCCCTTCCTTCTGGTGCCTGGCCGGTGGGAGGAAGGATGCATAGAGCACTCCACCCATGTTTCCCTAAGTAAAGTCTTCAGTGTTTGAGTTCTGTGAGGCCCCTTCCTCCTATTTCTCCTTCTCTTCTTTCTTCTTTTCTTCTTCCTCATTTGCTCCTCCCCTCCTTCTTTTCCTCATTCCCTTCTTCATTCTTCTTCTGCCTCCTTACTCCTCCTCTTTGTTCTTCCTTCCTTTCCCCTCTTTCTCTTCTTTTCCCTCCTTTCCTTCTTTGTTCTTCTTCCTCATTCCTTCCTGCTCTTCCTCCTCTTCTTCTTCATCCTTTCCTTCTTTGTTTTTCTTCTTCCTCTTCCTCTGCTTTCTTCTTTCCTTTTCCTCCTCTTCTTCCTCTTCATCTTCTTCCTCTTCACTTTTTGATTTAAAATTTTAATGAATGAACATAACTTCCCTGGACAGATGGGGAATTGTCAGCGGTCCATCCTGGGTGCAAAGACAGGTTGTTCTGTTCACAAGCTGGCATCGGTGTTGCCCCTGTATCCTGAATGCATGCATGCTTGGCTGTGCACAAAGGTTTCCTTCTCTCTGAAGGGGCATGTTTTCCCATTTCTAAGCAAACCTCAGAAACTTTAAGGTAGCATGTAATACATTAACTCCTCATTAATTCAGCAAACATTTCATAAACCTATACTATGTACTTGGCATTGAGATAAAGGTAAGGCTATAAACTATGCAAAAGAGACAACTCTTCCAAGAATATTAGAATATGATACAATAACAATAAATTAAAAAATAAGCTACAACACACATACTGGACAAAGGCATTGCAGGAATGCTGGACTGCAAAGGCAGCATGGTTCAAAGCATTGCGGTTTGTAGAGAAGGCAGCACCTGAATACCACTGGGCTGTTTGTCTTGGCACATGTGTGGATTGAATGAGTTTTCTTTAATAGCAAAACTAAGTTAAAGAAGGTCCCAATCCTCCAGTTCCTGAAGAGCCCTGAGGTTTTAAGAAAAAGAGGAGAGCATTGTTAAGTGAGTCTCATGCAACTTTTCTAGGAGCATTCCATGAAACAGTCCATGTGTGAGCTAGCCACTTCCATTTGGCTCCAGTTTAAAATTCAAAATTGCTCCCAGCACCAAAGGGCAGTACTGAATAGCTGCATCTAGAAACACATTGCAAGAATAACTTTTAAAATTCGTTTTTGAATGTAAGCAGCATGTGGTTTTGTTGTTCATCAAACATCTGAGTGGAGCATGGCAGGCTTGTGATGTCCTGGACCTCACCGGGAGGGTGAGTGACATTCCTGTGCTCCCACCTGTCCCGAGGGAAAACCTCCATGCCTCTATCTCACTCACCTTCGGATTCCTTTGAAGTATTTGCAGTATGTATATAAAGAGTGCAAGCTGGGCACCAGTGGCTCACACCTGTAATCCTAGCTACTCGGGAGGCTGAGATCTGAGGATCACGGTTCAAAGGCAGCCCAGGCAGGAACATCCGTGACACTCTTATCTCTAATTAACCACCAGAAAACCGGAAGTGGTGCTGTGACTCAACTGGTAGAGTTCTCACCTTGAGCTGAAGAGCTCAGGGACAGCAGAGTTTAAATCCCACAACTGACCAAAAAACAAAAACAAAAACAAAGAGTGTAGTTTTAAGCTTTCACACATCAATTCTTCCACCTTTAAGACAATGGTTACATTTATAAGTCTACAGAGTGGGGTCACTCCAATGCCTTACTACCCAGCAGCTTCATGCTCTGAGTATCTGATCAATTCTTAGTTTATTTTTTTAATTTTGCAGGTATTTATTTATTTTCTTATCATGAAGTAATTGTACAAGGGAGTTGCCATTTAACAAAGCAATGTATTTGTGAATACAGTGCATCTTTATCAATGTCACCCATTCCGACCTTCTAACTCATCTCTTCCCTACCCACTGCTTCCTTCACTCTTCTTAATTTTGTAGGATATATATTGGATTCTTGACTGAATTCTCCTCTTTATTCATCTACTCCTTTCCTTTTGACCCCATTCTTTCAAATACTCAATTATTTATCTCTAGATTATGTGTGTGTATGTATGTGTGTGTGTGTGTATGTGTGTGTGTGTGAGAGAGAGAGAGAGAGAGAGAATATATATTGAGGCCTGAACTCAGGGCCTGAGTGTTGTCCTTTTTGCTTTTATTACTCAAGGTTGGAGCCATAGCTCTACTTCTGGCATTTTGGTGGTTAATTGGAGAAAAAGTCTCATTGACTTTCCTGCTCAGACTGGCTTCAAACTGCAAAGCAGCCTCCTAAATAATTGGGATTTCAGGTGTGAGCCACTGATATCCAGCTCTAGATTTTTTTTCTTAAAAAACACATTATCCTTAAGTCTTTGTACCAAGGGATTTCAATTCAACATAATGATTTATGAGTATGGTGCATCTTGAACAGTGTCACCCTTCCATCTTGCTCCCCCATCTCTTCCAACCCCTCCTAAGTTCCCTGACCCCATTTTCACAATACATTCACTATTATGACTGAATTAGGCCCCACCCTTCTGCTCTCTATTTTTCTGCCCACCTCAGCCTTCCTCTTCCCAACAACACATGGTAAATTTAAAAAGAAACGTCCCAACACTCATTTTGAGGTTAAAATCACCTTTCCACAATTCTGTAGCCCGAAAGAAATACATTTAGGCTTTTTTTAGTAAGATGTTGAAGTAAATAAGGCAATGCACTCTAAAGAGAACACTTCATTGCCTTCCCTCCTCTTTGCGTACTTTCATTCAGCCAGCACAGTCGCGTAGCAGATTCTTCCCATGAAAACCATGTTTCAGCTTCACTAATGGAACCTCATTCTCGAAGGCCAAAGCCCTGTCCTTTGTTCTTTCAGATAAGGAGACAAGGAGGCATCCAGCTCCTGGTGGACCTGCTCGATCACCGGATGACCGAAGTTCACCGTAGTGCCTGCGGAGCTCTGCGGAATTTGGTGTACGGGAAGGCCAATGATGATAACAAAATTGCTCTGAAGAACTGCGGTGGCATTCCAGCGCTGGTGAGGCTGCTTCGCAAGACCACGGACCTTGAGATCCGGGAGCTGGTCACAGGTTAGTGTCATTCCATTATCCAGCCCGGTAGCAAATGTGTGAACAAGGTATTATGAACAAGGTACAGTGCCTCACTGAGCACTGATAACAGGTCATCTCAATTTCTGTTTTCACTTAAGTGAATAAAATAATATTAAGTGTAACAGGTGTGGGTTGATCATATTAAATGATTAGAATCCAAAGGAAACCCTCATTTACATTCTGTGATCATATGTCAGTCTTTGGCAGGTAACTTAAGAAAAGTTGAGTCTGGGAAGGTGGCTTAGGGGTAGAATGCTTGTTTAACATGCATGAAGCTCTGGGTTCGATTCCTCAGTACCACATAAACAGAAAAAGCCAGAAGGGGTGCTGTGGCTCAAGTGGTAGAATGTTAGCCTTGAGCAAAAGAAGCTCAGGGACAGTACCCAGGTCCTGGGTTCAAGCCCCAGGACTGACCAAAAAAAAAAAAAAAGCAGAAGCAGAAGCAAAAGCAAAAGCAGCAGCAGAAGTTGTTGAAGTTGAGTATCTTAGCATACCCAGAAGCCACCATTAGAACATTAAAAAAAAATGGTAGAAAGATGATGCTATTGAGTCATTGGTAGTAGGGTACCCATTCTAGGTTTCAGTGTGGTTAAAATCAGAGTTTATTAACCTTTACAGTTAATTTACTGATTAAAATACTTAAGCCTACTCAAAGACTCAGTGTTACATAACTGCACGTTACGGAAATTTTTGAAAGCTACAATGAGAAAAAGCCTTTCCAGGATCATAAATGAAGATATAATGATGAATATTGAACAAATGAGAACATGTATAAAACTCAGTATACCTCTCTTTCTTGGAATAAATATGGGCTCTGTAAACATCAGTTATTAGCTACCGTGCCTCACTTTGGGTAAGATGTAGCACTGGGATTTGAACTCAGGGACTTATACTTGCTAGGTAGCTTGAACCACACCTCCAGTTCTTTTTGCTTTATAGGGCCCTACTTTATGCCCTACTCCTCTGGACCATGATTTTCCTAATCGCAGCCTCCCGAGTAGCTAAGATGGCAGACGTGAGGCACCTTGGCCAGCGTAGCCCTTCCTTGTTAAGCATGCACATTTGCTTGTTGAAGTACTAAGGACAGACTGCAGTGTGGTATTCCAAATCGTCCCGGGGTTTCCCGTCTTGATGTTACATGCTAATGTTTACTAGGTGGTGTTTCTGCTTCTGGTTCATCCAAGTACCCCTTTAAGTGAGAATTTGACAAATGAATTACAAAAGTGGCTCCTCCAAACTTTCTTTTAATTTTTCATGATTAAAAATTAATCTGACCTTCTGTCCTGACTAAAATGTCCTTTTAAATATGTTGATAGCATATATAAAAAAAAGTTGTTTATTTAAAATAACACATTACTCAAACCAGGCAATCATAAATATTTATCCAGTCCCAAGTCACAACTCCTAGTATCAATACATTTCCTTACGTTTTCATCTTTTATGATCATGGTTGCAGCCAGGTGCAGGTGGCTCACACTTATAATCCTAACTACTCAGGAGACCGAGATCTAAGGATCATAAATCAAAGCCAGCCTAAGAAGAAAAGTCTTTGACATTCTTACTTAAGGAGCTCTGGCTCAACTGGTAGAGTACCAGCCTTGAGTGAAAAAACCTAAGGAACAGTGCCCAGGCCCTGAGTTCAAGCCCCAGGACCCCCCCCCCCCCCACACACACACACAAAATAGAAAAAAAGAAGGGAAGAGAAAAGAGATTACTGTTGCATCTCTTTATTTTAACTGAGTTCAGACTAAACACAAATCCTTTTTTCCCCTTTCTGTAAGTGGAGAATTGTCTTTGTTGTTGAAAGAGTAATTGTTAAAGGCTATCGTGTTATTAAAGTAATATTTCATAGATCCAGCAAGTAAAATGATTATTATCCCAGTAATGTGCTGTCTCACAGATCATTCTGAGGTAAGTTACATAACTGAAGATATTCCTTGTCAGTTGGTTTTGAAAACGCACCCTTTCCTTCATGGACGGTATGTGGGAAAGGACCTAATGTGTATGCTGGAAATAAAGCACTTGTGTGCGTGAACACCTCACTGCTGGATGCCTGAAGCCCGCAGAAGTGCGGGCCTGCAGAGTGCCTTCTATATCCACAGCTGTCATTCATTTCATGCTTGGGAAAGGACTGGATTTAGACTAAACCTTGTATTTGCTCCACACATTCGCCTCGTGTGGAAGGCTCCCTGGTGGTTCATCTCGTTGTCAGACTCAGCCATGTGGAGAAGCTTGATGGCTTAACGTGGGGGTCCTGCCCCCTGTGACATCCTGCAGAACACTCTGGTGCCTCCTGCGTCCCAGTGTCCAGCACACACTGGACTCCGCTGCCGTTTGCATCGGGGGTGGCTGCAAAGGATGTGATGTCAGTTACGCCACGCCACAGTCACCTACCAGATCCTGAGCCTCCTCCCCCCACCCATTCTGCACTGGGGCAATGGCCAGAAATTCTAAGTGAGCTCTATTTGGACACATCAAAGACAAACAGTCTGTCCCAAAGCTCTAGGAGATTCTGTTCCTGGGGAAGCTTAGGCTGCAGGAAGCATGCTAGCACGATGCACAGCGAGCAGACAGTGTCCATGCTGCATATCATGAAGGGACGGAGGTTTGCCCCCATGGTCAAGTCTTAGCCCATAGTTTTATTAGCAGTGTATGCAGTGGCCCAGGCTCTCTCCATCATGTTTTCCAACATTCTCACCCTTCCCTCCCCTCCCCACCTCTTCCCTCACTCTTCTTAATTTTGTAGAATATATATATTGGATTCTGTTCAGCACTGTCCATCTTCTCTTCATTCATTTACCCTTTTCCCCTGACTCTACCCCCATCCACTTCAAGTACCTGCTTCCTGGGGTTTCCATTTGCTGAACTTTGATTTTGGCTTTCTAAGGAACTACACTACTTGAGATCTCCATGAGATGGGTAGATGCCATATTTCAGTTAATACATTCCTATATACTTGCATATCACTCAACCTATGCACTTGTGAATTTGTAAGCTGAATCTAGCTTCCACATATAAGGGAAATCATGAATCCTTTGTCTCTTGTGGCTGACATGCTCCATCAAGAAGATGTGGTATTAGAAAGAAATGGAAGCACCTGTTGAAATTCTTTCCTACTTCCTTCCTCTCATGTCTGAATCACCCATAGTTATTTCATGGTGGTGTTTACTGAATTAAATGTGGCAAAATGTCCTCATGTATGAACATAACACTTCCTATGTATGTCCTTCATTAAGAAAAAGCCAAACAGACCTTCAATTTACCTCTGTGATTGTTAACCTGAAATAAAAGATAGGACTTGTGGTATGAACAAAAACCCAGTAGCAAGTACATGGGCTAAGCTGCCACCCAAGAGAAAGCAATTGGCAGAGCTCACGTGCGGCATGCAGACATGCCGGGGCAGAAGGGATGTCTGCTGGGAGCCAGTCTGTAGCGCCAGTGCCTTCGAACTTTCTGCGGTGAAAGAAGTCTGAGAGAGCCAGGAATCAGCAGGTCCCAGATACCTGTTTAGATTTTACAGAAATGATACAAATTTAGCCGAGGCTTACTTCACCACCTGACTGAAAGGGAAAAAAAACGAGGCAGAGTGAATGCAGTTCAGAACCTTTTCATCTTCTATGGGTCGGCATTCGTGGCAGCACACTGGGAATCCTGTATTTTCGTTCAACTAACTAGGTTCAGCCACAAGGTCGGCGAAGCCTCCATTTCTCCTGTCTTTATTCTCTTGCCACCCCTCCCCTGGGACTCTGGTCTTGGTGCATATTTGACAAGAGGAGAATAGTGAGCCTGTCTTCCTGTGGGAATGCAGGCGCCTCATGCATTCCAAAGTCACGCACCCCTCAGACATTCCTGAATTTCTATAGACCTCAGGTGCAGTGCCAAGCCCTGTGAATACTTCAGTCAGGCTCACCACCACAGTGAAGCCCAGCTCTGAATGGTCAACACATACATGTTACTGGCTGCTCAAAATATTTAGAGACAGCCTCAACAAATGTGCCTGTATTTTAGAAACATACTGCATGAACAGGGAAGGAGCTAGTGGCTCTGAAGGGTGGAACAGAATGGAATGTAAGAGAAAGACTTGCTTTACTTCTTTCGTCCAAAAGAGTCACCACAAATACCCTAAGAATGAGGTTCAACATCCGTATGAACTAACTAACGCCATGGTGAAGTATAGTAACTCCGTCTGAACCTCCTTTGTGCGTCTCTGCCAGACCTCATTCAGAATTTAGCCTCACTGCGGTGGGACAGGCCAGTACTTCCATGAGTCTCTCCTTTTGTTTGTTTGCTTTTGCTTTTTTTGTGTGCCATTACTGGAGCTTGAACTCAGGGCCTGAATACTGAGCCTTTTTGCACAAAGCTAGCACTCTACCGCTTGACCACAGCTCTACTACTTACTTTTTAATGGCTAATGAGAAATAAGAGTCCTACGGATTTTCCTGAACAGGCTGGCTTTGAACCATGCTCCTCAGATCTCAGCTTCCTGAGCAGTTGAGATTACAGGTGGGAGCCACCAGCACCCAGCTTGTCACATTCCCTTCTGCCTCTTAGCTCAAGCATGGGAATATGTATCCACTGAAGAAACATTCTTTCCACAAAATGTTGGAAACAAATGCTTAATTTAAAATGAACAATTTTAGAGATTTTTTTTAAGTTTTGTAAATTAAATTTTAGATGAGACATTGAAGGTCTATAAGGTCTTAAGATATCCAGAATGCCAAATTATGAATAATTGAAGGCTAATAGAAAGAAATGATCTTGCCAAGCTATAAATAATTTATCGAATAGTTCTTGGCAAACTGTTTGAACAGTAATAAAATGTTAAAATTGAGGCATTTGCATACATTTCCATTGCACACATAAACATGCATGCTGAAAAAGCCAGCTGCCTATTTGCGCTGCAGTATCTGTTCACAGCACAATGTGTTTTGCCAGTGCCTGTTGGCTTCGCAATAAATAATTTTCTTCCCGTGCAATAA